TTAAAATTTATTTAAATTTTTAATTATATAAAGATAGAAAGTTAACTATAGTAAATAGTAAATAAAAAATCAAATTATGTAACCATGATATTTGATAATTTATATATCTATTATATTTTTATTTAATAAAAAATAAAATAAAATTATTTTTAATATAATACAAGTTTCACTCAAATAACTAATCAATATAAACATTTTATTATCTTTTTTGGTTGTCCTCCTATTTTTCTAAGGCTATGTTCTGACTAATCCGAACTGACACAAGTCACACACCTAGTTTTGTTGGGTGAGTCTCGTAGCGGAGATTTTCTGTATATACAAGAACTCGAACTTGAGAGATAATTATAAAAATAATTTTATTTTATATTAAATAAAAATATAATATATATTGTAAAATGCCACAGTTACTTAATTTAAATTTTTATTTTTTATTCATTATTGTTAACTGCACGAACTATCTTATCTCAATGGTTAAAAGAATCATTATTGTTCATAGATGTTACGAGTTCGAGCATCAGCGGTTGCAGCAAGGTTATTAAACATTCATTGTCAAATGATTCAGAGTATTTAAAACAGATATTACTTTGTAATCACAATCTTAGTTTAATAAAAAAATAATTAATATTTGTATAATTAAAATTAAAATAAATTTTAAAAATATAAGTCATAAGTAACGTTGTTTGGTTATTTTTTTAATAAACTACCGATCCACCTTTATTAAAGAAAAGCATACGAATATATTAAATTAATCTCATGTAATTTAATTAAATTAATGAAAAAAGAAAATACAATTTTATCGTGACTAAATATAGACTACTCAACCCAAGTAAAGGTTGAAACAAATTCTTTAAATACATGATTTAAAAATAAAAAAAATCAATCAAATAAATCAAGTTTAGATCCTAAATCTATCCACACACAAATATTTAGAACAATCTATTTAAATATTTTATTTTTAATACAGAATAAAATAATAAATAAAAATATTTTCTTTAAAAAAGCAAAAATTAAGCTAAACAAAGAAAGGAAAGACAAGCGTCAGATTATAAAGGGCGTCAAATATACACTAGTTGCATGGATTTACTTTTTATGCATCGTTTAGATATAGACTAGAAACTACGCGTATGAATAATCATGGGTGCATTGTTAAGGTTTCCTATATATATAATACACTCATTGGAAAAACAAGAGAAATAGGGAGTTTTATTTGGTGTTCATGAGAGGAACACGATTCTGGGACAAAAAACCAGAAGAATCAGGTGTTACAAGAGAGATGCATGGTCAATATCAGCCTGCTGCGTAGAGATTTCGTAGCCTTTTTCTTCTTTTCTTTTTTGGTTCTTTGAGAGGAGACTAATAAGAAATAAAGACAGCAAAATGTGGTACCCAAGGGAAGTACGAGTACATCCATGAAAAAAGGAGGTGGCAATGGGCTGGTAGCGGTAGCCATTGATAAGGACAAAGGCAGCCAACATGCTTTCAGATGGGCTGTTGAGCATCTTCTTTCCAAAAGCCAAACCGTTGTTCTTATTCACGTTGTTAATAAAAACGGAGCCAGTAATTTTCAAAACCCTAAATTATGCTCGGTCGGTTATCTGCATGCTCGATTCTCATAAGGTTTATTCTGGTGCAGGTAACGGTAGCGACTCATCGAACAAACAGCTGACGGAAAAGATATCCAAAGAATTGTTCCTCACCTTTCATTGTTTTTGTACCCGAAAGGATGTACGTTTATGAGGGAACAGACAAATCCTCGTGTCTTTGACATTTGTTAACGTTGTATATGGTTTGATGTGAGCTTGTCTCCTTTACGACAGATACATTCTCTTGATGTCGTGCTTGAAGATTCGGATGTTGTAAAAGCATTGACAGAATATGTTTCTTATGCTGCAATTGAGAAATTGGTTCTGGGTGCCCCATCTCGAAGTGGATTTATGAGGTATTTCTCCCCAACTTGATGGCCATGCATGATGTTCATTTCAGCATTGAAATTCTTATGCAAAAATGACCGTTCTGCAGAAAATTCAGGGCCGACATACCGAGCTGTGTGTCAAAAGCTTCACCGGACTTCTGCACCGTATATGTCATTTCGAAAGGGAAGGTATCTTCGGTAAGAAACGCCGTTCGTGCCGCCCCATTCGCCTCCCCGTTACTTGATCAAATTAAGAAATCTACTACCCGTAGCCAAGGCTTGTCTGTGAGCAAGCCCTCCCTGAGTAATCCTGGTTCAGGAAAAGGAGGTTTGTTCCCTTTCTACACTAATCTCCTTTCAGTTTAGTTTCCATTTACATCTAGACTAATTGGGAATGTAATATTTGCATCTTGACTATGCAGTAGATAATCGGTCAGCGAGCAAGCATCGGACTTCAATCGACTGCGGCTCCGGGCAAGTCTCGAGAAACAATCCTGTTAAGCAAAAGATGTTTCTTTTATGATGACATGACTTGCTGGTCAACTAACCATCATCTTTATAATACCAGGTTACCCCCTACAAGAGCCAGTCTCGCCAGAGCATTCGCGGATTTATCCGAATCGGATACTGATATATCATTTGTTAGCTCGGACCGACCAAGCACCGACTGTGGCTCTTCTTTGCTCTTTGATTCGTTCATCGACTCTAGTCGAAATATGCGGTTATCGAACTGCACAGACATTAGCGTTGGATCATTGCGTTCAGGAATGAGGTGGGACGACTGTAATTCTCAATTCGATTTCTCACAACCGTCGATTGACAGTGGAAGATCATCTTGTTCATCGCAGAATCTGGTACGTTAATCAGGTTGTCTCCAATGGAAGCTAGATTTAAAATGGACACCTGCAGGTTCCATTCATTTCTTATCATATTGAAGATAAATATTATTATAAACAGAACTGCATTTGTTTTTGTCTGAATATTCTCAACAAGTTCATACCGTTGATGGCTGGTCTAAATCGATTTTTCGACTTTTTTTTATCTAAAACCGAACAGGACGAAGTTGAAGCTGAAATGAAGAGACTAACGCAGGAATTGAAGCAAAAAATGGACTTATACGGTAATGCATGCAGAGAAGCAATTTCAGCAAAGCAACAGGTACAAGCATCAAGCATGTCATCTTTTTAGCCCTCTCACTGTGAAATTTTCTGAATTGTAGACTTACGAACCTCAGGCAATTGAGATAAAGCACGGTAAAAATCAAGAAGAGCAAAGACTGGAAGAGGTACAACGAGCCGAGGAAGCTGCAATGACAGCTGTAGAGAAAGAGAAAGCCAAGTGCAAAGCAGCCATGGAAGCAGCCGAAGCGGTACAGAAACGAGTAGAATCGAAGCGAATGTTGGCGAATACAAGAGGGGAGCGCTAAGAGAAACAGAGGAAATGAAGAGGATGTTGCAGATTCTATCCAACAGTAATATCAAATACAAGAGATACTCCATTGAGGAAATTGAGAAGGCAACAGAGAACTTCGCCCCCAATCGAAAAATCGGAGAAGGAGGTTATGGTCCTGTCTTCAAGTGTTACCTTGAACATACACAGGTTGCAGTTAAAGTTTTGCGACCAGATGCTGCTCAAGGGAGATTACAGTTTCTTCAAGAGGTAAACATAAAATTGATAATATAATCGACAAGGGATTCTTTAAAGACAGAAAATCATTTGAACATGATGCTGTTGATTATTGATTTGCAGATTGAAGTACTGAGCTGCATACGCCATCCAAACATGGTACTTCTTCTAGGAGCCTGCCCAGAGTATGGAATCTTAGTGTATGAATACATGGCTAGGGGAAGCTTAGATGATTGTCTATTCAGGAAAGGGAACAGCCCAGTATTGTCTTGGCAACTCAGGTTCCGAATCGCTGCAGATATCGCAACAGGCCTACTTTTTCTCCATCAAACGAAACCGGAGCCGATCGTGCACCGTGACATGAAGCCCGCAAACTTATTGTTGGATCACAACTACGTTAGCAAGATCAGTGATGTCGGGTTGGCAAAGCTAGTACCGGCCGTCGCAGAGAACGTGACACAGTGCTGCATAACATCGGCAGCCGGAACATTTTGCTACATCGATCCGGAGTATCAACAAACAGGTGTGCTGGGGTGAAATCCGACGTATATTCATTGGGGATCATACTTCTTCAACTCCTAACAGCAAGGCCACCAATGGGGTTGTCTCACTACGTGGGGCTAGCTATCGAGAATGGCACATTTGAAGAGATGCTGGACCCTGCAGTGACCGACTGGCCAGGTGAAGAGACCTTGTCAATGGCCAAACTGGCAATTCGATGTGCTGAACTGAGACGGCGAGACAGGCCTGATATCGACAAGGAAGTGCTACCGGAACTGACTCGACTCAAAGAGATCGCTGAAGAGAACATGCCCCCTAGCTGTCTTGCTGATAGTGGGGGAACTTCACCAACACATGACTAAGCTTCTTTTTTTATAAAAAGGATCAAGCATAAAGATAGTATTACTGCGACTGTTGCTCTTAATTCCAACCTATTTCATTTTGAATGTATGTTCCCTTCCCTCTCTTCCTACTTTGAACCGTTGGGAAGAAGAGAGAGTACTAGTACTCATTATTCCCTACTAGTACTTTCTTTTCTTTTACCTGAAATTCAAAGTATATTCACACTGTCACACCAAAAAAATTAATTAATTTGTGTTTAATCCTTTTTCTAGAACTCGGTTGAGTTTTGCACAAATGTCTTTAACTTCTTCTTTTTTTGGCTTGAATTATATTTGATTTTTTTTTATTTTAAATTAATATTAAGAATATCTTTTATTTTTAAAATAATCGTTTAAATATTAGTATAATTCGATTTAGTTTTAATTCATTTGATTTCTTTACTCTTCTCTACTTTTACCCAGGTTTGGATCAACCCATTCACTAATTTATAGAAGATAAATTTATGCCTTTTCTAAATTAGCAATTTGGGCTTATTAAATGAACAGAGAAAAAAAGGACCCCAACAGAGTTTTATATATATATGAATTTCTCCACTCCAGTTGTCCTATCCGTTTCCTAATCCCCCAGGCCAAAACCCCCAGAATTGTAGGTTTTTCAGCGGTGCTTCCTTCGTTGCAAGCCAAGGAAATGGAACAACCAGCGACACCAACAGCCGTTCCTCGAAAACTTAGTGACAGAGACAACAACAACAACACGAGCAGCAGCAAAACAAAGAGGAAAATCCCGACACCACAAGAGCTAATATCCCATTACGAAACCCAAGGCCTGGATGCCCAAGAAGCTTCCGTCAAAGTCATTGAGGATCTCCAGAACGTGGTGATGAGGGTCGTCTCGTCCAGCACCAAGCCCAAGAAAGACAAGTTCTTGATTGACGCTTCCAGAAAGATGGACAGTCTCAACAACAGGCTGGCGGTTGTGGATGTGAAGCTCGACTCCAAGCCTGGCTATTTGGAGTCTTTTGCGATTGGGGTTGCTTCCGGGGCTGCTTTCAATGGCATCAGCAGTGTTTTGCCTCATATTTTTGAGGGTATTGCCCAGATTTGGTCTTCTGTTAGGACTGCTACAAAGCCTTCTCCTTAAATGTGCTTTAGAGTTTTGCTTTAGAGTTTTGTTTTGTTTTGTCTGGCTTGTGTTGGTTTGGGAATTTGAGATAAGAGAACTTCAATGCTACTGAACTAGAATCAAATTATATAAATTTCTGCTCGTATTAATGCATGTATGTATTATACATAATATTGTGTGGTAATCTGCTATGGAAGTTTGTTGAAGGTTATTGCAGGGTAATTTTTCACCTTTGCCTTACAACTTTTGCGTTTTGTTTTCGCTTAACATCTTCATTGGAATCTTCCTGTAGGTAACCGAAGCTTTTCATACATTTTGAATTGCCTATGCTGCAGATTACAAACAATGTATGATAGGATTCGAATCTTGTGTGAAGCGGAACCGGTATAATGACCGAAAAGTAGAGCTACTTTGAATGAGAATTGATCTTCCAATGCCCTACCCAAGAGACAAATAATGATGGTTTTGTTTTATATTAGAGCTTGATCCTTCCCAGTTGAAGAATTCAAGCAGTTGGATTTATAAAACTATGGTAACATTTGAATGTGTAATGCATGTATACATTTCTTGAGTTGATCTAGCCGTGTGTGAAACTTTAGTGGTTGGGATCATAAAATTATGGCAACAGTTGAATTTTGTAATGCATAATTGGGTTATACTTGTTGAGAATTTTCTTCCCCGATGTCACACGGTAACTCAATATTAAAAAGTCGAGTTCCGCACGCCGAAGAAGGTAGAGGAATATGTCTGACAAGCTGAAAATGGTGGTCGGGCATCCCATGGCTAGTCAAAAATGTCATAACTAAAAATCAAGAAACAAGCACCAATACCTTACTTAATCTGAGTATAGAACTTCATTTAACAGGAATAAAACAAGAGTAAATTATATAAATGGACACTGAGCTTTTCAGAGACTTGCATTTAGGTCCCTCAACTTTTAAAACTTGCAATATAGTCACCAAACATTTAGGTCCCCGATCTTCTCTTTCCCGATTCCCATTTATTTCTCAAGGTCGATTCAGTGATTGTTTTCTTCACTTCAATGCTCTTCTTTTTAAGTTAAAATCGATTCTATTTGTGTTAATTTCATGATAAAATATAATAATATTTATTTCATTTTTCAGAGATAAACCCTTGATCTCTTTCTCTTTAAGCTTTCTCTTTATTTATTTTACTTTTTCTGCATTAAAAGTCAAAGATTGTGAAAAATAAAATGAGTATTTGTTGTTTTGAAGAATATTTTTTCACGGCTTTGATTTCATGTTCTGTAATTTTCTTTCACATAGGATATTAATTATGTGCATAAACATCAAGAATGCAGAAAACTAAAATGGGTATTCACTGTTTTTGAAAGAAAAAAGAATTAAAAGGGGAAATATTTTTTTTACTCAAAGTGTTGATCTTTGTGTAATTTTAGTCCAAAGGATTGATCTTTTGTGTGATTTTGGTCGACATAAAAGCTTGATCTAGTATATAAATAAAGCTTAGAATGAAGAGAAATAAAGTGGGTGTTCATTGGTTTCGAAGAAAAATGAGAAAATTTTTGCTCAAAGAGATTGGTAAATCTGAATTTTTTTTTATGTAAAACCGGTGCGCACCTTGGTTCTTGCATTTTCTGAGCTATCCGAGAATGTTCCATTTGTGAGCAGAGATGGTGGAGAGATTAGAAGGGAGAGAAGAAGATGTTGGAGAGAGTTTTGATGGTGATGGTGATGGTGATGGTGAGGGTGAGGGTGAGGGTGAGGAAAGTGATCAACTGGGTTAGGGATAATAGAAAATATATATAAATAATATTAATAAAATGTTAATTGATTAAGAAATTAATAAAAAAAATATCAGATCATTACAGTGTTAAGAAATAAACGATCGAGTGATAAAAAATTTAATGTTTAAAGTTTAGTTAATAAATTAAAAAAATTAAAAATAAGATGAGTGAAATAGAAAAAAAAATTCAATGAGTGAGCTTGTAATTTACCCTAAAAGTTTTAAAGTTGGCTCTATATCTACTTGAGGAGTAAAATTAATACCTGAATATGTAAAAAATATTTAATTATTAAAAATAATTTTATGAATAATATCCATTTAAATAAATTTAATTTTTTTGAAAATATATAATAAAAATATTTGATGCCATCCAAATATTATTATAACAATATGCATTTTTTAAATAAGATTAATTTTTAAAACGAGTGGATGATAATAGGATCCTTTGGAGGCTGGATCGTTTTTTTTTTAATTTACCTTTATGTCAAAATGGTTTGACCTTTCATTGTTTGACCTTTCATCTGTTCGTCCCAATTATTGATTTATATATCACTCATCATTAAAAATCTGACATAAAGGTAACGTGACAAATTCACTATTTACCTTTCATTGTTTGACCATCATTTTGACCCATCTTTCTCTTTCATCTCTACACTTCTTTTTTAATTTCTCAAAACTCATCATTTCTCTTTAGTCTTTCTTATTCGATCCTCACCGTACATACACTGCTCCTAGAGGAAAAACAAAAAAGCCATGCCGACCACTACATCCTACAACCTGGTATATACAAAAGTTGAGAGCTGTGAAAGAGGTAAAAGAGCTGTGGAATGTTTATTAATTTCTTTGTGAACCTTAACAACAAGTGCAGAATTTTGGGGAGCCATTTTTCCTTGTTATTTATGAGGGTGAAACGTTGACTGAAGTGCGAATTCGAAAAGATTACAGGTTCGAGATGAGGAATTTGCAGAGGTATGATCTCTGCCCGATAAAAATCAAGTTATCATGTCTGTCAAGATTGCATTTCTTTTCTGTTCTCTGTATTATTTTATCTTCTTTCTTACCTCTTTATGTTTTTTAATGGATTTAAACAAACTGAACCCTTGTTCAATTTTTGCTCGTTATTCCAAATAATTGCTCCACGGTATGATCTCGTCCCGATTGTCTCCAGGACTCTGTTGTAGTCTCTGCTCGTTTTTAGATTCTTTTTACCTTTATCATCTTGAAGTTTTGTATTAGTCACTTTCCTTGAGATATTGTGCCATTTTTACCGTTGTGCTTTTACTTTGTTCTTGTAGAGAAAGGATGTACATGGTGCTTGGGAACAATATCTTGGACTGGAACACTTCTACAATGAGCTTAAATTTAGAATCTTTCCATTTCAAACAAATTTCACCAGACATATGTTGGTTGGTAAGAAAGGAAATATGTCGTACATTGGTAAGATGCTTTATCATCTTGATTAAATTTTACAGAATCATCATACATTCGAGAAGCCAATAAATATCTACAATTAGATCAAGAATCAGATGAGCTACAACCATCGCATTGGGTGGAAATCAATTGTCGATGTCATATTCAACTGTGTAATAAGCGAAGAAAGTCGGAAGGAGGCTCATTGTTCGGTATTGCAGAACCGTTAACTCGGATAGATGAAATGTGATCCGTTCAGCACTTTGGGAAGATGTCAACCTATAAAACCCTTTGCCTGTTTTTCCTCTAGGAGCAGTGCATGTACAGAGTGGTGAGGGTTGAAGAAGACAGATAAAAGAGAAATTGTGGGTTTTAAGAAGTTAAAAAGAAGTGTGGAGATGGAAGAGAAAGATGGGTCAAAATGGTGGTCAAATAGTACATGGTCAGCAGTTAACGTGCCACGTCAGCTTTCCTTCGCCCGTAGTAACGGGTGTTAACGACGAGTGACATATTTGTTATAATCAATAGCATTAGTGACCAATTTGTTACTTTTGAAATTTCAGTGGGAAAAACAAAAATTTACTCAAACATTAGTGACTATTTGTGTAGTTTACCCAAAAATTAATTCCAAAGTTTTAAAAAAAAAATCATTAATAAGACTTTAGGTTTTTAAATATTTTAACTTGACCCTATTATTTATTCTAAAATTCTCACTAAAATTTTTTAAAAGTTCTGATTAAATCTCTAAAAATTTTGGAAATTTTAATCAAATCCGTTTAAGTACTTTTAAGTTTTAGCTAAGCCCCTCCAAAACTTAATATCAAGTTCCCCCACTATCAAGTATTCCCCTATATCTAAAAATAATAAAATATTAAGTTATTTTTTAGAATGAATGATAATCCAGACTAGATCAAGTAAGCTGAAATTGTAAAAATCCTTTGACCCGAACAAGCATAGATCAAAATTGATATGGCCTTAACTCCGTAATTAAATTTGAGTTGCAGTAGAACATGATATCGAGAAAGAAAGAAAAATGATGAGAACTAAGAATGTATTGTTAAATGTAAAGATGGGATCATCAAAGTTGAAATTTACACTAAATAGGAGGACATCAAGTTCCAACTGATTTTCATGTGTTTAGGCATCGATGCTACAAAGCGCAGGAGATCGGGCTTGCCACTTAGTCCAGGAGGCAGGGTTTCTGCATTCTCACTCAACAGCGGAAGGAACTTTGCAATATTTGGAAGGACAAGCTCCCTGCAATGCAGATGCAACAAGGGAACCTTGGACAATACACTTCCCTTCTGAACATCCAGACCTTCCGGCCTTCGTAACTTGTATGGTTTCCCTGTCCTTGGTTCAATATCAGCTCGAGGCATCTGCTTCCATTTCCGGTGGACAAACCAGCCATACTTATAGTCACCAACTATGGGAGTCCCTAGAGCTTCAGCACAGTGGACTCGGAGCTGCAAGAAATTGTAAGTATGAGAGATTGGGTGTGATTCATACAAATATATGCCTCCTGCGTACAACACTTGAATAAGATAAACAGAGATAAATACGGTACCTGATGCTTCCTGGTAGTAAGTGGGCGCAGTTCAATCCACGAGCATCCATTTATCATAGGACCTAGTACCCGGTACTCGGTCATGGCATCTTGAGAAGGTTCTAAACCCACATTCTGAGCCAAGATGACCCTCTCAGTCTTACCATCGTCAAGAAGAATCTAAAAATAAACAAAAGATACGTGATTAAAACTCTGGTCAAGGAAGAGGCAAAGAAAGATTGCAAAAGAGAACCTTCGAAAGAGGAGCACAAATTAAGCCTTCATTCTCCTTTGGAGTGCCTATCACCAACGCCCAATACCGCTGAAACTTTGCGTCACAAGCATCATTCCAAGCCTAAATGCCAGAATATTTGTAAACTAAAAGAACAGAAAATGTTCAACCAGCAGTCTATAATGCCTGTACAAGTTGGCAGCCACCGTGCTAATAAAATATACATATTAACAACATGGATGTAGGAAGCAGGCATCTGACAATTTATTTTCACTAGTTAGGGTACATGTTACCTTACAGGAGGATTTTGCCGGATTTATGTCATTGAACAGCCAATGAAGATGATTTATGCTTTCTTTAGTTCTCCCCATTAAGAGGAGGCCACTGCTTTCTCTATCAAGCCGGTGCACCTGACAGAAGTTCATAATAAAAGCATGAGTGAAAAAGTCAGACAGAATTGGCTTTCCAACAAAATAAAAAGTAAATCAGATAACGACTCATTAACAGCTACAAACTACATTTCACTTACAACTACAAGCAAACCTTTCAACATATAACTTACACTCCCCTAAGCCTTATCCCAAGTACACAAAAATTCAACATACATCTTACGTCCTTTTAAAGAATTAGCTGAATAAGAAGCACCATAAATCCTCAAAAAAAAATTAACTTTTTAGTCATCATTACTCTCAAGATATACAGTTTAACATCAATACATCAATGAAATAAAATAAAATTACTTCAACAAGGTCCAATTAACTTGAGACTTCAATATATGATAATGATAAAAAGAGGGGAGGATAAAATACTTTGTACTTTTTTAATCCTATTCCCAAACATATCTTGTCAGGTTGATACAGTTTTTACCACCGAAGCAAAAAAAAACATATTTCTCCCATGAAATAATAAGACGTGTGCTTTCTTTGCAATATTGAAGAAAAAATAAAATCAAATACCATGTTATGGATCTCTAAGCAGAAGTCAAGAATATATCTACCCTGAACTCTTAAGTCATAGCTACATGTGTGGTATCAGGCTATTATTCATCCCATATGCCTCACCATGATGCTAGCTCTGCTATCACACAAGAAAGCTTGTGTTCAGTTAAATCCAAAGCTTAACCATTAAGCAACATTCTATTATCATATGATGCTATATATATATATATATATCAGTGGATCAAGAAAAGTATCGACTTTTTACCTTTACTGATATTGGCAATAATAATAACAACCAGCAACGGGTAAAGGCATTCACCATATAATTTCTACAATAAATGAGCATACCAGTTTAGGGCCCTCATCATAATCATAAGACAGAGCTGCTGCTGCTAATGCATCCATGCTGTTATGTACAGGCAGACTTCCCTGAAGATATTGTGATAAACCAAAGTGAGAGGAAACACAATATGCTGAGACAACAACTCAAATACCTTTAATGATGTAACCAAACCTTTACTGGCAGCTTGGGCGGTTTATTTAGTACAAGTATAGCATAGTCCTGAAACATAAAACAGCATAAATAAATATAGGAAGAACATGTTGGGGGGGAAAATACCTTCAGACTGAAGTAAGGAACTTGGAGCATGCATCATCATTCATCCATCATGCGAAAAGTAGCATACTAGTTAGGACAGATGCTTATCAACTTAGAGGTTTGCCCCCGAGGACAAACGCATGCAATAACATATTAATAAGCACACGGATACCAAAGATACCAACAAGCAAATACATGCTTGTACAATTGCCTTGTACTTGACAAGTCTTCGCAAATAGTCAATCTCATCAGCATTTGGATGAAGAGTCCCACTCGGTATACAGTCAATCTCTTGGAGACTCGAGTCTCTGCAATCGATACAGGTACCCAAACTCTTGCCCTTACTTCCATCACCTCATTATGCTTGATCTGTAGGTAAGCTGTATAAGTACAGAGTAATTAAACCCGCACAGAAGGGCCCAAGAAAAAAATGTTTTTAATTCTGAGATTAAGGGTACCTTTCTCAAGGGTTTCATTTGCCCACCACTTTCTATGAAGGAATCAGCTGCACCACGATTTGAGGACTCGATCTCAACCTGCAACAAGAATGAGGGATATGCATATGTTGAATGCTGAGATAGGAAAGTGGCAGAGAGAACTACTTGGCCTAAAGCATCTAGCAAAGAAATAGGTCTCTTTTTATGTGTAATACTAAAAGGGGGAGTAGTTTGGAATACGTACGAGGCCCTTGTTAAAATGAGACTGAATGGCGGAGTCTGAAATTTCATCGAAGTAATATTTGAGCCAACTGATAGCAGTGATGCGACCAGTGGCAGAGTTCTTCCCAGGCAAAGGATAACCAGGGAAAGGGGGCAAGGAAAGGAGTTGGCGAGGCTTTGGACCCTGTTTTGGACTGCCTAAGTAAGCCACGTTATTGGAGACGCGGATGACCGGATCAGCATACGCAGGTGGAGGCGGAGCTACTCTGGAGTAGTGTCTCGCTAGAGAATAAAGATGGTGACCAAGCCTATTCTTCTGCATTACTAACCATTCAGATTCTTTTTCTTCTTTAATATGTAAAAGGAATTTTATCGAAAACTTGGTGTGCAAAAACTCGTTGCCTTATTTAGCGCACGGTCGAGTGGGAAAGCGCCTGTGGGAATTTTCCTTCTAGCTCGATCAAATATGACTGTCACCTAAATCAGAGGCTCATACAATTGATAATTAGCTTCATAGGTTAAATAACTCATGAGAAAAGAAAATATAAAAAATATAAATCGATTTGGTTTTAGAAAATATAAATTATTTTTATAGAAAATAAATAATGTCGAAGAAAATATATTGATTATAAAACTGAAAATGATTTCTAAAAATAAAATAAAAATAAGTGAAATATAAAAATAAAAAATTGTTTTCAATATTTTCATTAAATTGTTTTGGAAATTCAAAATATAATGAAACATTATATCTAAATTTTAACTTAACTCGCACATATTTAAATCATTCGAACAATAATTTTTTGATTTAATGGTTTCTGAAACCCAAAATTTTTTGTAAAAAAAAAGTCAATATGGTCCCTAAACTTTTTTTACACTCAATATAATCCTTAAATTAATTTTTTAATAATTTCATTTTTATATTTAATTTATTGAATATCTTAATAATTATTTATATTTTATGTTTTTAATTTAAATAATTTTTAATTTTTTTAAAAAAAATTAATAAGTCTTCAAACATTTTAAAATAATCAATTAAGTCCATCTACCAGATCATCTTCCATCGAGTATTACCACAACAGTCTAGTGAACTGTTACATCAATATTGTAGATTGTCATGTAAGTTTTTGAATTATCATGTAAGCGTCGTAATAGTCAAGTTTGACTCCGTTGTTCAAAGGGTTAGATTTTTTTTTCTAAGATTAGCGATCACATTTGGTGCAAAAAAAATTCAGGAACTACACTAATTATTTTTCCAAAAGTTTGAGGGTCTTAGTTATCACTATACACATTTTTTTATGTTAACGACACTTTTGTGTGCTACTATTTATAATAGTATTTTTTTGTATTTTTAAAATTTAATTAATGTCTAATATGCATTAACATTATATTCTTATTATAAACTAAAATAAATTTTTTGTTTTGGAATTTCTTATCGATTATATTGTTTTATATTTGTATAACTCATATGTTAAATTTATGTAATGGTTTTTAATAATTATAATCTAAATTAATTATTTAATAACTATTCTTTTTATTTATATTTTAAAAAGTTAGATACTAAATATATTTTTAGTATTTAAGTTTTGAATTCAAGTTTTTATTTACATTAACCAAATATGTTTTCTAATTTTCAAAAAATAAAAAATGAAAACTATTTTCTGAAAACTAAAAGAAGAAAATAGGAATAGAAATTATTTTCTAGAACCAAACGAACCCTAAGTGTTTGGAAATTAATTTGGAATATAAAACATTAGTTATAATGCATGTAGAATTTACCACGAGGAATAACGAGTTTCATAAAAATAGGCATAATATCAAAAATAGTCCCCCCAGCATTTATTAAAATTGTCATTTTGATCTATATTCTTTTTTAGAGCATTTTGACTCTCAATGTTCCATTTTAACTAAAAAGCCCCCTCTATAGATGAAAATTATTAGTTAGCACACAATTAACACTCTAAAATATGAATTTTTTACCTAAAAATGAAATATTGGTTGTTAAAATACTCTAAAAAATAATAAAGGTCAAAGTATTTTTTTCCAAATATTATGGGTCTTTTTGCCTTGAAATTCATATTATACATAATAAACATTGAAGCCTAATTTTGATAGTATACCTAACATAATAAATAATTGGAACTCTTCGTAAGAGTGTGATGAGTTTCATTCAATTTTATTTCAATTTATATGACGAGTTTTACTTTTTAAATATATTTTATGAAACTTATCGTCCGCTTGTGACAAATTTTGCATACATTATATTAAATGATCTAGATCATAAAATAATTCTCAAAAAACCCCTCATTTTCTAAAAAATATTGTGGCCATAATATTCTCAAAATTTGAACTCGATAATTATAAATTGTCTTTTCTATAAAAGTAAGAATTAAAGGGTGTTAATATTATTATATAATTGTAGGGTTAATTAAAAAATAATTGTTTAAATTATATTGTATACACTTTAAGCTTTTAAAAAATTTTGTCAAAAAGGAATAAGATGTTCCTATACTTTAAAAAAAATGTGTTCATTGTATTATTTTTTCTTAATGTGACCCTCGAACTTTGAAAACAAACCCAATGTGGCCCTTAATCAACGTTTTTCGTCGTTGATCATTACGATACTGATGTGATAGTTCAATAAGCTAACATAGGGTCCATGGTACAAATGTGACAATCCATTGTGGTTGATGATGTGATAGATAGGCTAAATTGATTTTTTTTAGTTTTGTTCGATGACTAAATTGATTTTTTTTAAGTTCAAGAGCTTATTTAATTTTTTAAAAAAATAATAAAAAATTAAAAATTATTTAAATATTAAATATTAAATATAGAAATAATAAAAATATAAATTGAATTACTAAAAAACTGAATATACATATTAAAAAACTAAAATTATAATATATTTTTAAATTTTAATGTATATAATAGAATATAAAATAATTACTTATAAATTATTAAAAAAATTAAAAAAATATTTTTAGAAAGATATATTATACATAACATATTCATGTAGCATATATGCATATTATCGACACTTATATAAAGTTTGGTGTATGAACAAATTGATTTTTGGAATGAATTGTTATTTTGAAAGGATTGAATTCAAATCGTTGGCTAATAATAGGTAATTTTAACACGGTTAGGTTTAGAAGAGCGTAGTGGTTGTTCTAACATGAGTTCGAGCTATTTACAGTTTATTGAATTTATCTCCAATTGTAAATTGATCAAATTACCTTTGAGAGGGGAGAAATTCACTTGGTTTGACATGGGCAATAAAAGGAATAAATCAAAAAATTTCTTATCGATGAGCAATGGTTCGTAAAAATTGAGAACATAGTGCAATTGGGTCTCAAGAGGGTTGTTTCAGATTATATTTTGGTGCTTCTATTAGACGGGAATGAAGACAATGCCATTCAAATTTATCAATGGATGGCTGTCCCTTTTTCCCATATATATGGGGGGTAAGGGGAGGTAAGATAGTAGGCTACCCCCAACACTAGGTTGAGAGCAGCTTCCGTAAGGAAGCTCCGAATTATGAAATGTTCTCCGTGGGACTCGATCCCACGACCTCAAAATTAAGAACCTTGTGCTCTACCAACTGAGTTGGATGGTCAGATGACTTATTAAATCAAATTGTAGAAGTGTAATCAACAAGGTACTCTAAAATGATTCGGATGTTAAAGCTGGATTTTATAGAAGACTAAGCAAGATAAAAGGTGCACTGAAGAAATAGAATATTGAATCTTACCAGAACTTCAATTCAAAAGTTAAAGACTTGAAAGACAAGATATATACCTTGGAAAAACATGTATTGTTAGTGAATTAAACGCACAAGATCAAATGAAATTAGAAGCTTACATGAAAGGGTTGTGCGATTCACTTATAATGCAATAATAGCTTGGAGTCAAAAATTTTGAATGGTGGGATCTATACCTCCTTCTTCAGTCGTTGCTTTCATTATTTCTAGTTTGTCCATGAATAGGAGAGGTGCGGTGGCATTTTAAGGCTTACCTTTAGGAAATTAAGAGCATTTTTCTCAAGGTCTGTTGATGAGACATCTGTTGATTTCACTGAAATCGTAGCCATTGAATTGGCATTGGTATTGTTTGTTTAGACTAGTTGGGTTGGTAAGATATCGTTGACAGTAAAATCGTGTTCCCTTATTATTTTATTTTAGATTAGTAATCCTTTTGGTTATCCTTTAAAGTGGTGGTCAGAGCTGTACGATATAAATATTTGGGGTTTATCAAATTAAAGTAGTGATGTTCAAATTGGTTCTTTTTCTAAAAAAGTTGTTGGTGCGCTTGTTGATGTCAAATGGTCACTCAGGGCAGGATGTGTTTAAAGTCTGGTGATAATTTTTGTGTATTGTTTGTTTGTTAGGGGTTATGTTTCTTGTTCTAATTGGTTGCAATATTTTTGTTCCTGCAGATGGTCTGTTTAGTTTGTTTAGGTGTCAGGTTATTTGTTGCTAAGAGTTTTCGATCTGGATGCATAGGTTGCTTTTCCTTTCATCTTTGGTGGTTTCCTTGGTTGCATGTACTCTTTTTCTTGGTAAAACGTTTACACAAATATGAAACCATAACCATTTACAAAGAGGGACCAAAATATAAAATTCATTGTAACAAATTCATATTGTTTGTCTCTAAAATCATTAACAACATTCACAACAATAATTTTTTTTAAAACTCTACAGTTCAAATCATAGCTCTAATATCGCTTGTTAAGAATTTGAAAAGAGTTAGGTAAATGATTTTTTTCTCTTAGAAATTTCTTTAGTGGGATTCGTAACGTGAAAAGTTTATATTTTAATATTAAACCAAAGAAAACACGATCGCAAGAATGATTTCTCCTATATCATTTAGATTGATTAAAATTCTCAAATAATTTAATTATATTATTTTATTAATGTATGATATATTTCTTCAACAAACAACATTTTAAAGTGTAGAACTTTGGGATGAACGACTAAGGGAAAGAAGAACTTGAAGAGAAGTATGTCTCCAAAATTTAAAACTCATTGTAGCAAATTAATATTATATGTCTCCAAAATCGTTAACAAAAATCGTAACAATAATTTTTTAAAGGGTAAACTACGTCAAATACCATTCATCTTTAAGTTCGGGCTCGAAAATTCAACTGACGTTTCAATTTTGCCAATTTTAGCACGGACGTTTATGTTTCACTGCAATTTTGCCACTTTGCCGTTAATCCGTTAAGGGGACGATGACATGACATCTTTATTTCGTGACAGCGATGACATGGCTCCCTCATCAAAACGACGTCGTTTTGGCACGACCGTTATGATGCTCAAAAAACTCAAAACGACGTCGTTTTGTTGATGAAAAAATATTTTTCATGGGGTTCG